TCGGGCAATTATGAAATCTTGTCGCGATTGCTTCCATCCCCCCTACAGCAAAACACCTAGACCAGAAATCTCCTGAACCCTGAACCCTCGAAACCCATTTTTTGATAGATCCTGACCTTCTGGGCGTGATGGTTGTTGCGAGCAGGCTGGCTTTTCCCATACCGTTCAGACCACCATGTCCACAGGTGCTCAGCGAGCAATGTGGTGAGCACATAGGCACTGCTTGAAATGCCAAACACCTTGTCCGACATGTCTGCCCCCCACCCCCGCTCTCTCTCTGTCTCTCTCTCTCTCTCTCTCTCTCTCTCTCAGAGAACAAAAACCCACGAGTTCAACTGCACTGACATTGGTGGGACTCCCCGCTACTTTATGCGATGTACTTTCATCTTCCATGAGTCTATGCTTCCTTGCTGTTCACAGAGTTTGCTCCTGTTACGGGCGCCAAGATGCGCTTTTACTCCTCACAATCTTGGCCACACTTGGCACGCTTTTTGCAGTGAGCTCAGATGCGGGTTTTCTTGGGCTTGAGGCTTGCGAGGGAAGACCAAGTAAACAGGTGTGCATGGCTGCCAGTCAGGAAGGCCCTAGTCTCCACTGCCACGCCAGGGGCTCTGCAACGTTCTTCATCTTCCTTTATGTCTTGTTCTTCCTTCGCCTCACTTTATTAAGGCCTTCCTGTCGTTCGATGTTTCTATCTATGTGTCCCTGTTTCCTACAGTTGTTCCTCATTCTTGGTGTTACTTCTGCTGTGCATTTATGGCATCTTTCTTGTTCTCTCATTTGCTCTCATTTGCGTGTGCAGTATTTCGTTCTGTTCTGGTTGTCGTTTGTCGTGGCTTCTTTTGTTCGTATATTTCATGTTCGTTCCAACGCTTTCGTGAGCTATTTGTCTCGCTTGTTCTCTTGGTTCTTTACTTTTGTCATTTCTGTCTATGTGTAATTGATGGGCTTTTGTTGGTTCTTTCGTTGTGTCTCCAATTTCTGTTTTTGGTAGTTCTGTCGAGCGCGATTTCTATGTTCGACTTTTCGTGTCCTCTATTCTTTCGTTTGCTAGTTCTCTCATTCGTTCTATCTTTATGTATTGCTGCTGTTCTTTCCTGTAGCGTTCCCTCTTTTATTCTGTTGTTCTTTCTGTCTCTTGGAATTCCACTCGTTCTGTCTGTTCATTTTTCTGCCTCCTCCAGGCGTTGACTCTTGAGAAGCGGTACATTAACGTTCTTGGATCTTAGCAGAGGGCTCATGCTGAGCAAGAGCAACGTCCAAAGGTTCAAACTAGAAAAGCGTCAATCAATCGAATGCCGAGGGCGCCATCTGCGAAGATGCACACTGTGCCTGAAGCAATTGTTTGGCCATGGGATGAAGCAACTGTCCAAAACCCTGGAACCATGGGCGGGGGCAACTGGAGTGCAGCAGCACATGTCAAGCTGGAAATGGAAAACGAGAATGTCAACTTCCAAATGCCAAAGCCAGGAGAGGCAAGCTACATGTGATACGCAGAGATCTGACTCATTGCCGCGAAGACAGCACAGTTGCTCTTCTTGGAATGGGGCCTGAGTTTGTGCATCTCGTGCAGTTGCAAGCTCCTAAAACCTGAGCCGCGCAATGCAGGAGCCTGTTTACTGACAATAGAATTTTGTGCACATTCCACTATACCTAGAAAAGGATGACAACGAAGTAATCGCGGGGTGATTCTCGAGGCTTCTATAGAGCCAAGGATTCATGACCAGTCCTGGAAGGGCTTGGTCAGCAGGAGATCATAGAGGCTTGAAGGACATGCCAGGCAAACTGAACACTGCGTTAAGCCTATATGGCTCACCGCTTGATTTCTTGGTTTCCTGTAGGATACCGAAGTTTAAGCTCTGAACCACCAACAATGGCGATCTTGGAGTGCCAGCTTGCAATCGGAGGTCTTGCCTCCAACCCAAGGTGACTACACTGCTCGGCGGGATTGTCCATTTAAGAAAACCCCGCCAATGACAGTGTCTGAAACAAAGTCATTCAACCACACCAAGACTGCTTGTCACCCTAAGCCCTGAAGCCTAAACCCCTTGACCTCATGTACGCCCGATACACTGTAAGCCTAAACCATAGGCCCTAAAAACCCTCCGCCCAAAATCAAAGCTGCACCCTGAGGCCGGAGCCCTCCGAGCAAATGTGAAGTGCAATTAAATACTCAGAGGCCGCTGACGGCTATTGAATCCTTCCCGCCCAGGCGCCTGCGAAGATGTCTAATATTGATCCGCTTTTATGTCATCTTAGGAAAGCCTAAACCCTAAACCACCTACCTTCTTAGGAAATATCAGTGTGTGCGCAGGAAGTTATTCTAAGGTTGATCATGAATCTGCGGGCTCCCATTATGGAGCAAAGTTATAGTCCCCCTTAAGTAGATAGAATATAGGGGTTACATGGAAATAATGGAAAAGGAAATGGAAACTACTACTTAGGGTTTAGGATTTAGGGTTTAAGGATATAGTCTCCCTTAAGTAGATAGAATATGGGGTATATGGGGATCTTATTATATTCTACCCAAAGCCGTATTCTATCTACATAAGGGGGATTAAATCCTGGGCTCACTAAGACTAAGGCCGCGTGTATAGCTTCAATGCAAACAGCCCCCTGGAACCCCCAAACCACGTCAGAAACCTTTGCCGCGCGCAGCTAAGTGTCAATCCGGAACATCCACCTCGGGTACATGCAAACCAGCTGGCATTGGATTTGGGAGTCATAATGGGTTTAAGTTCAGGACAGAAACTCCTTGCAAACCTGGCCTCGCACAAGGTTAAGGGTTTAGGGTTTAGGGTTTTCAATTCCCAATTTAAGGCAATTTTGGCACGACTCCCTATATAGACCACCATTTAGGGTGAGTGAGGTCGGGTGAGGTCGGGTGCGGTCGCTTTAAGTTGCCCAGACTAAGGCCCAAACCCTAAGCACCCTAGGCTATTTTTATGAATATTGGGGCACTACTGGGTTGCTGTTAAGGAACTTACATTAAGTTACCATAATCGGTGCATGTAGAAAATAACAGGGCTTCCCCAACATAGTAACTTAATTGAATGAAGTTCCTCAACTGCAACCCTGTATTTTAGCTACATTGTGGGTCCAGGTAGAGGCACATCATCTCTAAGCAGCCGAGCCACGCGTTCTCATTGTGCCAGCATGTTGTGCCAGGATTGGCGCAACAAGTGGTGCTGTTCTGGGCAGGGCTCAGAGCTTCAAGCTTTAGGGTTTAGAATGTTTTCGAAATTTAATACTATTCACTTTGCTGGGTTAGGGGAGCCATGTAGGGCCGAGCTGTCCCCATCTACTTGACAAGTAAGATTGCTTTCTTCGAGACTGTACTTCTAGCCAGCTGAAACATGTGCACCCATTACAAGCAAACTGGATTCCCTTGCCTGCTGTCACGGAACTTGCGCTAAATTATGGATGTGTAGCAAGATAATAACATGGTTTCCTTAAAGCGGAATCACTTCTCTTCTCCTTGACAGCAATCCCGTTAAGTCCTAAGCTGCTCCTCAAAAAAGAATGAACAGCAAGGGGTCCGCTAAACTAGCCCCCCAAGACAAATGATATAAACTGTAAATCCCTAACCCCTACACCCTCAAGGGTTCAGAAATGGCCAGCACTCCTAAACCCTAAACCCTAAATTTGTAACCTTACTTAAGTACTCGCCTTAGAACCACCTCAGTGCCTCAACCCTCCATCCCTGGGTACCCCGGGGGCCTTAAACTTTTACAGCCGTAGACTGTCAGCCCTGATACGCCTGAATAGGGTTTTAGGGTTGAGGAGGGTTTAGGATTTCGGGTTTAAGGTTTAGGATTTAAGGTTGAAATCTCTCAGCCCCACTCTCTAGACTCTGAACTGAAAACTCTTATCTTGATCCTGATCTCCGAGCCCTGATGATTCCTGGGCTGCCTATGCCCTAAACTGACAATGATCTCCAGCTCAAATTCCTTAGGCCTTTGCATGCTGAAGCCCCAAAGTCTTTGCCGGCCCCCATTTTGAACCTTAAAGCCTGCACCCCCGCATACTTGGAACCTTAAAGCCTGCAACCCTTGAACTTTGAACCTAAAAGCCTGCAACTCCCTAAACTTCGAAACTTAATTCCTGCAAGCCCTTGAACTTTGAACCTTACAAAGCCGGCATCCTAAACGGTAGTTTCCCAAAATAGGGGGACCCCCATATAGACCCCAAAATACTATAATCCTTACTATTGGGACCCCCAAAAATGGTACCCCCAATTTTGGGAAACCCTAACCCCTATATAACCCCTGTATATCCCCTATATAACCCTATATCCTCCTTTAAAGGTACCCCTAATTTTGGGAAACCTCTAAACTGCCCCGGTGACATGAAGTGAAGCTCTGGCCTGTGCGGCGCAGCAGGCTGCCCCTTCCAAGTTTTTTCCACAGGTCCGAGCCTCTGCAGTGATGAAGGATATAACCAAGGGCTCCAATGTAGTTCCTTTTTGGGTCTGTTCTGGTTTTTGGGTAAGGGATCATAATATACTACCCAAAAAGGAACTACATAGGAGGGTATGGGTACACATATATATATATATACATATTGGTACCCCCCCCACCCAAAAAAAACCTACATTTTAAGCAACCCTTCTAGTATTCGGTGTAGACCTCTAGCGAAATTTTAACCCAATATCTTTGTGTTTGCTAGCCACCCCTGGCTCAGGTACGTCCCGGACAAGAAGATTGTTGCCGGCGTCTATACTTGGGAGGGTATGTTGGGGGGTGTGTGTGGGAGGGTGTTCGTGTTGATTTTTACTCCTGTGCGCCTGCAACAAACAACAGGAAATCATAAGCTTTAGAAGTATGAATTACAGAATTCGAGATTNNGCAAATCTGGAATTCTGGAATTCTGGAAGTCTGGAATTATCTGGTCTTGCAAATCTGGAATTCTGGAATTCTGGAATTTTGTTGTGATGTCCAGCCATCTGTAGCCAGTGTGAGTATCGAACTTAGTGATTTACAGACCTTCTACTTTGAGCAATGGATGCTGACAACATTTGCTTCGCTCAAGCCGTCGAGGCCACAGAGCAGATGGTTTTGCGCGAGTTGCAGGATCACGTAGCGGTCGGACCGAGCCCTGAAGGGGCAATCAACATAGCGAATCTCCCAATCCGCGAGTGCCCCGTCAGTAAGTATCACAGTAACGCGCAGTAGTTTTTTTTTTATTATTATTTTAAGTTCTCTCGATCCGCCAGTGACCCGTCATTATAACAGTATGATCGTAACGCACCGTAGAATATTTTTTGTAGAAATATTCCCCTTGATGCTCAGGTTTTCGAATCCTAACCAAGCCGTGCGTCACTTCATTGACATTGTTCACAACATTCCCAGGGGTGAGCTTGATGTGGACAATCTCAAGGGTATTTTTCGAGACAAAGCCTGGGGCGACTTGCCTTCATGCATGCGCATGGCCGGCCACCCGAACTTTGAGTACAAGTCCCAGTACATCTTCGTCACCCAAAACAACGGCAATGTCACATTGGTTAAGCATTTCTTCCTCACGAAGACTAAGCTCACACAGCTAAAGCTCCAGAAGTACGCCATTGGCAAGTTACATGAGATCATGTGGGGCAATGGTAATAAAGTTGTTGAGCGTAAAGCTTTCCAGTGGATGCTGGAACAAATGGGCGGCCTGCAGTCCCGGCACTACGCACTCAGTGGGGAAAAGAAGCGGTCCGCATCTTCGGCTGCGCTGGGTGGTGGCGTCGCTGAGGAGGACCAGGACGCGGGATGGGATTTCATTATCCAGCATGGTGAGCGGGACAAGGGTGAGCTGAAACAGTTACGATGGATTCATAAGAACATCAACAGGGAGGGCAGCCCCATCAAAGGGTGGTCGGAGAAGCTGGTGCAGAGAGCACTTGACTCGCTGGCTAATGATGGGTGTCTGGCTAAGTTGGCCACCAGGTATGATCTCGTCGTGACTGATTTCCACCCCTTGTTCCTGGATTTGATCTTCAAAGACGCGGTGCCTCATTTGCTTGATCATAGTCTGTGGCTACTGGGTGAACCAGGTGTTGGCAAGACGCCGCTAGCGAGGGCCACAGCCATGATGTTTAGCCGGTACTATGGTGGGAGCGGTCAATTCCGAACTTCCTCAGACTTTAATTTTTTCAGAGGCATCTTCTTCAACACTGCCACGCCGGCTATCTACGATGATGGCGACATCTCCGGCGAGGCAGTGAAGAAGAAAAAAGCGTTTGCGGATGTTGGTGACAACGAGGGAATCCTCAAGGAAAGGTGGAATGCTGCTAAGTTTCTTAAGAACCAGCTCCGGATCGTCGTGGACAATGCCTACAGCCCCCTAGGGTAGCCACTCCCGATGACCGTGACTTCTCTTTCCCATGCGGATTTCGTCAAAATGGTTCGTCCTGCTCTGGGGTACAACTCTGACGCGGACACCCGAGCAATTCTCAAGCGGGGAGTCATCATCGTGTTTACCAAGGACAGTATCTTCTACCGACCTCCCTCAGGAAAAGAAGTTTCAGTCACCCGACACAGGTGGGCCTTGCGTGACATCTTGCTTGATGAAGCTAAACCCCGTTTCAGTATCTACAAGTAGGGTGGGTCTGCTCCAGGGGACTTTGGCCAGCTTGCTGCCAGTGAGCAGGTTTGGTTGAAAGACGCCCTGCGCGCCCATGAAAGCAAGCACACTATCCAAGAACACTACACCAACACCTTGCCGGAGCCGATCGTCAAAATGGAGCCGTCCGAGTTTCATGACGTTGCCGAGGGCTTGGCGGCTATGTGCGAGGGTGAGACACTAGACGCGGACAGTCCTCCTCCATATGTACGCAACCCTCCTATGACGCCCGAGAGAAAGGTGAAACAGGAAAAGTTCGATCAACAGTACGCCTCGTTCCTTCTTCGCAGCGATGCCTTCAGCAAGTCTCTGGGTCCGAACGCCGTCATTGAGCTCTCGCCTTCGCCAGTAGGGTCCGCCATGCCTTCCGCACCTGTGCCCAACCCGTCCTTCGAACCCTTGGGTGATGATATGGACATTGATGACGAGCTTAGCGAAGAGAATGTGTTCGGGCACGGTGGGTCACTGAGTGCTGATCACATGTAGTGTGGCTCCGCGGTTGTAGCAAGTGAGTCCAGTTTTGCGAACTGTAGTGATTTAAGTAGTATTTATGAGTAGTATTAAATGAAGTGTCTGCTGTTTATGTACTATCTGTTATTGACTCGCATTCACAGTTCCGTGGCTCACCAAAATCTTTAAGCATAGCATGTGAGCCCATTTTTGCGAACTGCAGTGATCTCAGTAGTTTTTATGGGTGTGCGTGCAGTATGTGAGCTCAGCTTTGCGAACTGTAATGCTCTAGGTGGTTTTTATGAATTGCAGTGGTTTAATCGAAGTGTCTGTTGTTTGTCTACTATTTCTTACTGATTTGGATTCGCGGTTCTGTGGCTCACCAAAATCTCCGGGCAAAAAACGATAATGCCGCAAAAGAGTTGCTGTCTTTCAATTGCTCGCGCAGCTAAGTTTCTTGGCACGCTTTTTCGTCAAGTCGCATATGCAAAACGTGTGCATGACGTTCTGCAGGGTTTTCAAGCGCGGTAGTTACTGGTGGTAGCTATACGGGGTAGTTTGTGTGCGTCATGGGGAAGAGAGCGAGTCCGGTTGTTCCTAAAAAGGGCAAGCTTCGCTCCGTGCAAAAGCGTCCAGCCGTGAACAAAAACAAAGCTTGGCTGACAACAAGTTTACATCCGGGAAAGCTCGCCGTTACTTCCCGAGGGCAACGCAAAGATCAGATCAAATGGGCACGAAATCTTCCTGAGCTACTTCTCGCTTCCAACAAGAAAATTGTTCAGATTTGGGTCACGGACAAGATTCTCGTGAACTGGACAGGGAAGTGCTGTCCTCGCTGTGAGGCAGGCACTCTATCTGATCTCAAGCTTCACAAGCCCAGTGGGCAGTACAAGCACCGTTGCTCTTCGCGCGGTTGCCAAGCGTGGATCAGCCCTCATCATCTCCATCCACTTCTCACGGATGGCCGGGGCACAGGCGCACAGAGCCTACAGATTCAAAGTAGCATGCTTCTCCTCAAGCTCCTTCGAGTGTCGCATCCTTCCATCCACATCCTCCTGAACGTCAACCACAAAGCCATCGAGGATCTAGAGAAAAAGCTGTGTGAGCTCCGGAAAGACTTCGTCGAAAAGAAGGAGCGAGAGATCGTCTTCGGAAACCTCAAGGCTTGGAAAGATGTTGAGGCGGAATCTTGGTCTCTTTTGGTTTGATTCGTTAATTTACCACGTGTAGTATTGCTATAATTTTTTTCTTTAAGTTTATTTTCGTTTAAGTCTTTGCTTCCGACACTCAGTCACGCTAATATGCTTAAAACTTTTTGGGAATAGAGTGCGACAGTACGTACATGTAAAGTCGTAGTGAGACTGGAAACTCACTAATATAAGCTAAAGGTATTCAGCAAGTAATTCAGTTAGACGCTTTCGCTTGTGGCGCAAACATTCTAGGATGAAGCGACCTTTGACAAAAAAGACATTTCTCGTTCCTTAGAGTTCCAGCATCTCATCAAGAATCCAAGCCACACGACCATGTGGGAACAGTGGGCCGGAATTATCCAGCGGGGTCGTCCCGAATCATTGGTACTTTGCAGACTCAAGCCCAAGCTGACCGTCAAGAGAGCTCCCGGTCCAGGAGCTAGTCGTCGCATTGAGTGGAAGACGATTGGGGCGAAATTCTTACGTGACAGAAACGTAGTTCTGCACACAGACTCCGCAAAGTCTTACAAACTCGCCATGCCGGGCATCATTCATGATCGGGTCGTTCACTGCAAGAAGCGCGTCAAGCGAAATGGCAAGTATGTATGGATGCAGCCCAAGTACGTGTCCCTAGTCAAGCACACCATTCCTGGGTCCCGCAAAAAGCTCGCAGTGAAGTCAGGGACACAAATCATAGATAGGTGCTGGCGCTACTTGAAAGAGCGAGTACAGATTAACCAGCACTGTAAAGCCGGAAGTAAGCTCTTGCGTGCCAAGCTGAGGGCCGCTCAGTACGAGTATTGGTACAGAAATTCGGACCTCTGGCTGAAGTGCGGTGAGCTCTGCGCGCACAAGATGCGCGATTTCGTGTAGATAGCTACCCTCTGCTCCACAGTATTCTGCGCGCGATGCCTGCTATTTGTATGTGCTGATGCAGTATATGCTTCGCAGAACCGCAGTCCGGACTTCGGTCCTTACATGTGTGGAATTAAAAAGACGGACCTTAACAACAATCTCTAGCCGGATTTCTTCTCGTATTGTGTATATGTGCGTATGCCGTCGGCCTGCGACGCCCAATTCCGGAAGGGAAGAGCTGCAGTCTCATGCATGGAGGATCCTTGCTCCATACTTGTTAGTAACTAGTAGGGAATGCACATGTATTTTTTTTCTCCACATGCAGTCCTATTATGCTCGCAAGATATCGTCTATCCATTCCCTGCTAATTACTAACCAGAATTGCTCATGGCAAACGGAGGTCCCTAATAGTGTTAGTGTAGATTGGAAAAAGCATGTCTCCGAATAGAAACCATCCGAGACCTGGTTTCTACCGCGCAGGCCATGGTTTTTGCTTAAAACGTAGGTTTTTTTGGGGGGAGGGGAGGGGGGGG